CACAGCCGACAAAAAAGGTAGCTTGTTTTGTTTCCCCCTCTGCACCTATAACATTGCCTTCCTCTTTTACTTCATCAGCCTGTACTTTAGTTGCATCTTTCTTCTCCACAGGGCAGGAGTAGTCTATAACCTTTACTAAATTACATGCCAAGGTGTCATTCCCACTCCGTCCCCTGTGACTGCTTTAAGAAAAGGAGAGGAGAAACAGGAGCAGCAGCATCTCTCCTGCCAGCATCTGAGCTCCCAGCTGATGCTACCAAGCATCCTGCAATAGTCCTTTCTGTGGGTTTTGAACTAAGTTTGCTGCTTTCCTTTCTCCAATTTCGGTTTCCACACCAATACACTTGGGAACCTGCTGGTCCTTGCTGCAAGCAGTCAGAGCACACGAACACTTTTGCAGAACTACCAGTCTGTTACTTCTGCTGCACAAAAGGGAGAATCCACAGTTCAGCTGTATGACCTGTTGCAGCACTTTTTAAAAGAATGACCACAAAAACAAGGCTCATTTCATTCTTTAAGAACAGACATGACATGCTGGTTTTGCAGCAAAATAGGCTTACACTGTTGTGGTTTAACCCCAGGCAGCAGCTAAGAAGGTTGTTCAGAACAGAACAGCAAAACATTGTTTTGTTCACAATACCAATGAGCACACTTGCACAGGATCTGAATTCAGCAGTCTAAAACTTACAAGGACACTGCCATTGAGAAGTATCTTTTAAGTTAAAATATATTAAGACAAAATCTTTCAGTAATTTATAGCATTTGTATCTAAATTAAAGTTTACTGTGAAAGGTTTTGTACCTAGAATTAATTTATTTTAAACATATTATAAAATACTAAAATTAACTTTGGGTGGTTTTTCTTGTGCTCTAGGATGACCCTGCTTGAGCAGGGAGATTGGACCACATGACCCACTGTGGTCCCTTCCAACCTTACCCATTCTGTAATTCCTGGAAAGCCAAGGCCTTCTCACAATACTAAGCACAGCACTCTTCTTCCCCCCAATTAGTGTGTTTACAGCTGCAAAACGTCAAGACAACAGCTTCTGCTGCCACTGTTCTGGCAGGTCTCCATTCATATTAGAGAATTAATTTCTATATTCCCATTCCCCTCAAACATTCACCACAGCTATTGGTCTTGTTGTTCAAATTAAACAGGAAACAACAAAACAAAAAGTTTCTGAAAAAAGTGCCATAAAATAAGAGAGAAATGAACAACTAACCACAGTGCATGCTCACAGGGAAGAATTCATGCCTCATCCTGATGAGCAGCAGTGCCTCTGTGCTTGACTGGCACCTTGAACTTTTCAGTATTCACGAAGTCTCCATTAACTACTGGATAAACCAAAAAGTGTATCTGCTCGAAACAAATCTGGGTTGGACCATTAACATTAATCACCCCTGGTAGATCCACAGATAAAAAGGTTATCTAACTAGACCCTTTCTCATTCAGAAATCTCAGCTGAGATTTTGAACTCAGATCAGTTATCAATGGAGGAGTCAGTTCCTGTTAGAATAATGCAGACTGTAAAGAACCTCAACAGATCATTTAATCCAATCCATAGCTCAAAGTGCTATCATGACTTTCACCTGCGCCAGTTAATAAAGATGGAGATCTTATACAGGAAAAAAGATTACATTCCAACAGCCACGTTGAATCTGTCTTGACTCAGCCTTTAGTTAATCACACTCTTCGCATCTACCAACACACTGTAGAATTCCTTATTTCAATGTGTACAAGTTGTCACCAGCCCAAACTGTAATAAAGTGCTAAGGTAAGCAGCATTTTCAGAGCACAGCATTGTTGAAAATATCACAACTTGATTTATTCAGCATTTATAATAGAGATATTACTATTACAGGCACTCTATGACGTATTCTTGGTTGCTTAAGGTATTATTTACTCCAATCTTGCTTAAGACTGCTTTCTTTGCAAATATTAGACTATTTTTTTAATTTAATTAGTTTCTTTCATGATGTTGTCAGGCAGATTTAACTGGCAGGGACAGCTGGACCATAGATTCAAGGCCAGGTACTATTCAGTCCTAATAAACAAGTCAATAATGACTCTAGTCTGATGACTTCTGCCCTGTAAGTGGAATGGACCTAAGGAGGAATGCAGTAACTCGTGAATATCCTAAAGCCACAGCAGTAGAACTGGATGTCTGCTCATACAGCCATGAGACAAGGAGAGCAGAGTAAGTCCTTGCACTTCACACTGCCAGGATGCCTCACCCCAGCGTGGAAGAGTCACCTCCTGGAGGGTCACTGTGCTGCTTCTGCCCTGGATTCTCTGCTGGGACTGCCGTGAATGACTTTATATGGTGGCGTTTCCTCCAAGAGGAAAAGGAAACTGGATAAAATCCACTGACTTCATACAGGTCAGCAAGCAAACATCAAAACAGTAGTGACTAAAAGTCCTTACCAACTTTTGCCTGCTTTGAACTGGTGACGCAGAAGTGATGGGAAAGACTCCATCCTCCATTAGCAGTCCCTAAGCTACCCATAGGATGGTCTTTGACCTTTACCCAGTCACCCTATCCCACTCCCACTCTACGTGAGTGAACAAGCATCTTTGTTTACAATTGCAATTACAATCCTTGGGAATTCAAAATTCTCACAGTGTATATTATCAGGACAACTGACACTGACTTCAGCTGGTATTCCTTATCCGAAACACTTTGCAACTCAGAAGAGGCTCATTACTTACAGGGAAAAACAGTCTCTAGAACACAATGCAAACAGAAAATCTGCCTCCCAGAAAATCAGGGGGACTGTTCAGAAAGAGGAATCTGGAGCACCCTATTAAGGAAGATTATGGTGGTCTCTAAATAGTTACATACAAATATGCTATTCATACATAAAACCAAGTAACTTCAAAACTAAAAAAACTAGTCTGTATCTTTTACTACTAACAAAAATATCTCAATTATGGAAAAAACTTCCTGTGAGGCACTTGACATAAGATCAATGTGGTTTAATATTGCATTACATAGAACTCAGCATTTTAAAGCAAAAAAATACACAATTGTTTCAGGAAAAATAAAATAGAAGGAGTCCTGCATAAGTCAATGCAATTTAGAACTTTTCAGATTGGACAGTTTCTACTAACTGCCCTATCAAGCATCATTCACACTAGGCAAGAGACAAGATACTTTCATGTCCACAAATGTTCTATTTTAACTAACCACTGAGGAGAAATCCTGTGGGTTTTCAAATGGAAACCACTGGCCACTGCAACTAAAAATGTGTTCTAGAAATTCATCTACTTTTGAAACTTGTGGTAAATCAAATTTTGTTCTCTGTAATACTTTTTAAAAAAAAGCATTCCCCCTTTAGCTCATTCATTATCTCTTTCAATATTTTTAATACATGAAGAGCTTTTTCTCAGATAGAAATACTACAGAGATATAAGATCTGAACACTTACATGTATATTAATAAAAAGACTTTGTAAAAGGATACAAATTAGTACTTTGCAGATGTAAGGTGTCTCACGCTTTAGAGCATTTATGTATCTGTGGAACTGTTACTAGGCACATACACATCTGTGTAAAACACTTAAGCACAAATGATCAGGTTCCATCCCATATTATAGTACACAGTAAGAGATGCTGCTCCACACACAACTGTAATATTCTCATTAAATATAATACTTCTAGGATCACTTACTATTAATACAACTGAGTGTGAATCCAGAACCTGTCTCCATTAAAAACAAAACAAACAAATCCCATCTCGCATGGGTCTAACTGTAGCAGTATAAATTTATCTCATATAAATTTACCCAGCTGTTATACAGCAGGGGTTTACATCAGCACACTGTACTGCAATAGTCCAACAGCTCAAGTTGCACCAATATAAATCCACTTTAGGGTTAGCAGTTCATTTACAATAGCTAATCCTACTACGTATCTAGCTACACAGTGGTAGAGGGTTGTTCATCTTCCCCTAGACAGATCAATTTTTCAAGTTTGATATGGCATCTATAGTAATCAGCAGCCAGCACTGAAGCCAAACCAAGTTTTACAGAAACACACACACAGATGCATATATACATATATATGAGGTCTCTTCCACCCCTCTCCCAGTCATTCAGGGGGGAAATTAAGACAGTGTTCCAAGATTTCCTCCCATCTGAAACCATGAAACCACATGTCCAGCAACCAAAACAAGGAACAAAGTCACCAAATCCTCCAACAGTTGTCTTCCCACCTATTCCAGATCTTCAAGTGTTCTGACCAGTACTGAAAAAAAACTCCCACACTCAGTGGAGGGGTAAAAACAAGATTTCGGCCACATTGCAATTATCTAATTGTCCAAGAAAAGAAAGAATAAAATAAATCCAATTTTTACCTCTCATATCCTGAGTTATCCTTCCCATTTTCCATAAGACACAGACCTAGAGATTTCTCCCACACCACCCCCCATGACTTCCCTCACTAAACAAGAGTTGAAGTGGTCAGGGCTGATTCACTCCTGCTGCTTGGAAAGGCTGGAAGAACAGTCACTTCACCTATGCAGGCAGTCAGCCAGAGCTGAAACATGCTGACCAACAGCCTACATCTGTAATTGCCCTAAATTAATAATTACCTTGAAAATAAGATATATATACATACACAATTGAATACTGCATTATCCTAGTATTTAACTATAATCAATGTATTAAACTCCTAAAAAATCTACTTTAGT